GGTTGGTGGGGATGAGAAATAGGGTGGGGAAGGTTAAAAAAAAAATTGGAAAATATTTTCCCTTCGCTTAATAGGGAAAATATTTTCCCCCGGAAACAAGTTCATGAGAAAAATATTTTTCTAATCATTTAAACCAACCAAACATGAGAAAATTAGAAAATATTTTTCTTCGTACCAAACACACCCCAAATGTATACAACAAGGGCATTTCAAAACTAAGAAAATACTTAATAAATCTTTGAATTCTTCAACATAATTAATTTTGAATATGTTATTATTCCCATAGGATATTAATACTAATATTTATTTTAGGAAGTAATTGAATGTAAAAATTTCCACGAATGCCAATTAGATAATATAATTAACTTTATGTATTCATAAGATTACATATTAGCTGGAATGTCAATAAGTAATAATACGGGTAAAAACAGACTCATGATATACCCCGGTCTCCGATGAGAAAAGCCAAGTTCGAGACATAATGACAACGGACCGGAATCGAGGCAAGAGTCCCATCGAGTCGGAGTTCGGGTCCATGACGCCCACCCTCGAGAATATCAGGGTCATGACTGGGGATCGATCCTAACGCTGAAAGACTTCGGAGAATATTGTCGGGAAATCAAGCACAACCAATAGAAGGTTGTAATATCCGCAACCGACCAGATATGACGGCGTGGATCTCGACACATATCGATGAAGAAACGGCAATCAGTTAAACAAAAGATTTTTTATTTTTTATGGAGTTGTACCTAGAGTAGGATTCCCCTACTATATAAAGGGGGTCTGATAATTCAGTAGGCAGCTGGTAACATGTATTCAAAAGCAATATACTGCTATTTTTCTCTTATCAAAAGCTCTTTTTCTTGTTCATCAATACTATCCACTTTGAGCCCGGACCAAGGGTGAACGTTACACTAAGGCTGGAATCATCCCCCTCGCGTGGTTTAAATTTACTATACCTTTATTTGTTCATTCTAATTCAATTTATCATTTTGTATCAAATTAATCTGCATATCTTTAAAACCACTTACAAATTTAATTGTTATCCGATTTTGAGGGTAAACAGTTGGGCGCCCACCGTGGGGCGAAGGATAATAGTGGCAATTTGATATAAATTTTCGTAATACACTCTACTTTACACTTGTTCTTTGAAGTGTCTTTAATTTCAGGTCAAAGTTTGAAATGTCGAACTCCCAGTCTGCCCCTCTAAACGTGGATGCTGAGTCCGGCCACCATGGCGAGAATAATAATATAGCACCCGGTAACGAGGTGCCCCCTGTCGATCTCAACGGAGTTCCAGCCGCAGACCCGAGCGACGCTAGCTTGCATGTGGCCATCAATGTGAATTTGCCTATCGATCCTGAGAACAACGTCCGCAAGGAAGTTCGATCAGTTGCCCAAAATACGCACTACGGTGAAGGTGATGGGATTCAACAGGAAGCAATAGCCTAGCTACAGAACCAAAGTCGTGCCCCAAGCAAAATTGAGCCCGAGCCATCCCGGGAAATTACCCGCAGAAATGGACCGGTCATGGAGAGTCCGAAAGAAAATGAACTAGGGACTAACCTAGAGATCATAAAGATGCTCGAGAAGCAGACAAAATGGGTAGAATCTGGAGAAAAGAAAATCGAAGCCAATAACAAAAAGATGGAAACCTACAATTCCAGGGTCGACCAAATCCCAGGAGCACCACCGATATTAAAGGGCCTGGATTCCAAGAAGTTTGTTCAAAAACCTTTTCCTCCGAGCGCAACTCCTAAGCCAATCCCTAAGAAGTTCTGCATGCCCGATAGCTCTAAGTACAATAGAACAACTGACCCAAATAAACATGTGACCTCCTACACATGCGCCACCAAAGGGAACAACTTGGAGGATGATGAGATCGAGTCCGTCCTGCTGAAAATGTTCGGGAAAACTCTGTCAAAGGGAGCTATGATATGGTATCACAACCTACCCCCTAATACTGTTGACTCATTTGCTATGCTTGCAGATTCCTTCGTGAACGTACACGCTGGAGCCATCAAGGTTGAGACCAGAAAGTCAAATATTTTCAAAGTAAAATGGAGAGATAATGAGATGATTAGAGAATTTGTGTCCCGTTTCAAATGAAATGGATGGACCTGCCTCCGGTCGCGGATGACTGGGACGTTCAGGCTTTCACCCCAAGGACTCAATGTCAAAGCTCGTTGGTTTCACAGCAGTTGCAATAAAATCTGGTAGAATATCCGGCTGTTACTTGGGCCGACGTACATAATCGATATTAATCAAAATTTAGGGTCAAAGATGATTAGGTGGGGCCCCTTCTGGGTCCGTTTACCCTCATCAGAGCTATCGGCAGTGTCAAGAGAGACATTGATCGTGAACTAAGATCAAATAGGGATCGGTATCAGCCATACAATGGAGATCGGAAAGGTAATGGGTCTGGGCGAAACCCTGTGAGAAGTAATAGGAGATGTGATCAAGGTCAAAACAATTGGGGACTCATGAGCAAAAATAGTTTTGACAGGCCCGTTGGGCCTAAGGAAGCGCCAAGGTTATCAGAGTACAACTTTAACATTGATGTTTCTACCATCGTATCTGCCATCGGACGCATCAAAGACACCAAATGGCCTCGACCTCTATAGTCCAATCCAACCCAAAGGGATTCTAACCTAATGTGAAAATATCATGGCACTCACAGCCACAGAACAGGAGATTACCGATAATTAAGAGAGGAAATAGCTTGGCTATTCAACAACGGACATCTCCGAGAGTTCCTAAGCGATTGAGCCAAAACCATTTCAGGAATAGAGATTCTAGTAAGCGGATCGAGTAGGAGGAACCTTAGCACGTCATTAACATGATCATCGGTGGGCTCGACGTTCCTTAGGGCCGATGTTGAAATGCACCAAAGTATCCATCACAAGGGGAAAACGGACTCGAGATTACGTGCTAGAGGGAACTTTGTCTTTCAACGATGAAGACACTGAAGGCATCATGCAGTCTCACAACGATGTACTAGTAATATCTGTAATCATAAATAAATCTCGAGTTAAGCGTCTGTTAATTGATCCAGGTAGCTTAGCCAATATCATCAGATCGAGGGTCGTGGAGCAGCTCGATCTATAAGACCAAATCGTGCTTGCAGTCTGAGTTCTAAACGGATTCAATATGTCATATGAGACCAC